GCACAGCTGTCTGTCAGCAGTAACTGGATGTGTTATATCATCCCACAGGTGAAGAGGACACTCACCTCAGGGTGGTCCTGGTTGGGAAAACTGGAGCTGGGAAGAGCGCAGCAGGAAACACCATCATAGGAGAAAAACGTTTTAAATCCACGTCATCGGCTTCTTCTCTGACAGCTGTATGTCGGAAGGAAACAGTAGAGTTTGGAGCTCAAAAGGTGGCTGTAGTCGACACTCCAGGTCTGTATGACACCAACAGATCTCAATATGAGGCGATAAAGGAGATCGCTAAGTGCATCTCCTACGCTGCTCCTGGTCCTCATGTGTTCCTGGTGGTGATCCAGCCGACAAGATTCACACAAGAAGAACAGCGAACAGTGAAACTCATTCAGAAGCTGTTTGGAGATAAGGCAGCAGAATACACCATGGTCCTGTTCACCCGCGGAGACGACCTGGAGGCTGATGGAGTCTCTGTAGAAGAGGTAATCAGTGGAAACAAAGCTCTGTGGGACTTCATCGGTCAGTGTGGGAGAAGATATCATGTTTTTAACAACAGAGCCAAGGATCCCTCTCAGGTCGAAGAGCTGCTGAAGAAGATCAACACACTGGTTCAGGGAAACGGAGGAAGATGCTACACCAACGCCATGTTAGAGGAAGCTGAGAAAGCCATCAGTGTGAAGCAAGAACAGATCCTGAAACTAAATCCAAGCATTCAGCTTGCATATGCAAGAATGCAGGCTGAGGAGGACAACTCCTTCATTAATGCTTTTTTAAGTCGAGTTCCACTTTATGGAGCTGCTGTGGGAGCTGTAATTGGAGTTCCACTGGGTCCAGCTGGAGTTGCTGTGGGAGCTGCAGCTGGAGCTGGAATTGGAGCTGGAATTAAAGCTCTGGTGGGAGTTATAAAGGAATTCGTGGCAGAGGAGGAATGTGTCATCCAGTGAAATCCAGTGTATTTTACCACCAGTCATTCTGTAAAAAATGTGTTTTTCATCCCTGAATGTTTCATGTGTCTATCTTCTGTACTGATGAGTGATGAGGCTCAGAAATGATGGAAAAAGTCCTTTAAAAGTGTGAAATTTGGAGCCACATCTATGTACTTCAAGGGCCTGTAACTCTGAAAATATTTGTAGTATGAAGGTAAAACTTTACTTCATTAAATATAATAAAGTTACAAAAGATAATTGTGAGGAGGTCAGGGGGGAACTGATTGATTATTGATTATTGATT